CTGATGACGTATCCTGTCTGCACGAACCCGGGTGCGCAGAGGTATGCTAATACATACGTTGACGGGCAGGTAGGAAAGCCAATTAAAACGCTCAGACCGAGCGTTTTGATTGGACGAACATTTCTTGGTCCTACGCCTTCCACAGAATATATAAATACAGATAAATACATTTGGACCACTTAACTTAATGATTGCTATCGGGATGTGAAGAGACTTTCAACCAGCATAACAAAAAGTGTTTCTGAAGACAATCACCTTAAAACGGGCACAAGCAGAAGTAACTCTAGCAAGAGCCTCAGACCAGAGCTCTTCAGAAAAGCTGAGCTCTAACTCTTTCTCCCATGTTGACTTCAAACATAAGAGAGATGAAGTTTTAGATTGGACGAACATTTCTTGGTCCTACGCCTTCCACAGAATATATAAATACAGATAAATACATTTGGACCACTTAACTTAATGATTGCTATCGGGATGTGAAGAGACTTTCAACCAGCATAACAAAAAGTGTTTCTGAAGACAATCACCTTAAAACGGGCACAAGCAGAAGTAACTCTAGCAAGAGCCTCAGACCAGAGCTCTTCAGAAAAGCTGAGCTCTAACTCTTTCTCCCATGTTGACTTCAAACATAAGAGAGATGAAGTTTTAGATGAAAGCAATATGAGATAGATAGAAGAGATAAGGTTACCATCTATAGGGGTTGACAGTAAACTCTCAAGCAGGGATTTTTCTGGCAATTGGGGGAAACTTGTCGTCATTAGTTACTCTTAACTTATTTGAATTGATTGACTGAAGTTAATATTAAAAACCTTAATGTCGCAACCTGAACAACATATTTTTTAGTTATGAATGTATGTTTAGATATTCTGTCATAAAGTGTATAAAGCTTAATTGTAATGTTGTAGCTTTACATAATCCAAACTGTAATTATGTAACATACTGGCATAAAAGCTCTCCTTGTCAGTTATGAGTGTGTTTGCTACCATAAATAAGCACATTACATGACATGAAATTGTGGTCAGAAGTCAACTGTAAAAGCAAAAATGGGTGGGGGCTGCTTTTATGTCTCCAACAATGTCAAAATCAAGCCTACGCCCTTAATTATACTAAAACATCTTTATCATGCCTAACATTTCATATTTATGCAAATAGTGGAAACGAAATCCATTCTTCTCCGCTGAAGTATGCATTTTTATCTTAATATCGCATATTTATGTGCCTTCCTGCAAACGTACAAATACATGAGTGGGAAACCGCAACAATTGCAGTGGACCATAAGTGGCGGTTCTTAGTGTAGTTGACCTCATGCGTCAGGGAATTTATATGTGCGGCTATTTTGTCTGTCTCCTGAGCATTAGACAGCTGGGCTGCTCTCCTCGCTGTTTGTATTATGAGTTGTCTGTTTATAACACAGGGGTCGCCCTTCTGTCTGCCCACTATCTGTGTGTGTCTCCTCACTGTTAAATTAATGAAGGTCTGGCAATGCAACTTTCACTCACTCCAGGTCTGTCTCGCTCACACACACACACACACACACACACTATCTGTATCTGTCCCCACACAATTACATTAATGAAACATCACACTTGCCAGCAAACAGGTTTGGCTTGGCATGCTTCTCACTAATGGGCAAACTTACCCGCAACCCCGGCACAAACACACACACACACGCACACACAAACAATGTGGTAGATGGGGCTGTAAGGGGAATTTCAAAGTGCAAGGTAAAGAACGAGAACTAACAAGGCTCTTTTTAGAAAAACAAACAGGGAGAGAGACACTGTGATGATTACCCTATCGGTCCTGTACTTTTGCTAGTTGCTGAGGTTGCGGCTGGGAGAGAGACAGAGAGAGAGAGACGGCTTAAAACAAAGGAAAGCAGGAAGAGAGTATGAAAGACAGCTTACTGCTCTCTTTGTGAATTTTCATATGCAAAGATATTACACTTTCCTCATAAATGCCTGAGAAATCATTTCCAATGTTGTCACTGAAAATGTTGAATGTGATATCCCATTAGATTAAATATATATTCCTATATGCGGTACTTTTTGAGCTCTGTAACTTTAATAAAAATGTACTGTATATGCCTATATTTAAAGAAGTATCGCTGTGAAAGGGTCTAATAGAAAACTCACTTAACTTGTATAATTACACATGGTTTACTTGCACAACAGCAAGTATGGACAGGATGGACATGTAGATATAAATAAGAGGTTAGTTCTTATTAGTGAGGGATTGAGAGTAACTATTTTGATGATATCATGCTGGTTATGACATTTTAACAAACTATATGAAATGTTTTCGGATGAGACAAACTAACTGTTTCCACAAAAATTAAATCATTGGTAGTATTTACTTAAGTTTGTGCTGTCGTTTTCCCAAAAAAATGATGTCACATTCAGGATATGGCATTTATAAGGGATAAGAGATAAGACTAACAGAGAAGTAAGTTAAACTGAGGATACAAGAAAATCCAGCATGTTTCTTAAAATGATTTTAATTAGAGAGAGAAAAATGAAGAAACGCTGCCAGTTTTTCTTTCATTAGTGCAGACCACACAGGGACCTGGTAAAAAATAGCAGCATCTGTTCAAATCGAAGTGAATTCATTTCAGATTTAACTGTGTGTTCATTTAATTGTGATATTATGTGAAGATAAAAAGGTACTAAAATGATTTGCATCTTTAAAAATTGTGAGTTTAATATTTTATCTAATATATTTGGACTTGCAGACATGAAACTGTACTTTATAACAGAAATGACACACGTGGCAATGCTCTTTATTGTGCTTCCTCTTAGTCTCTGCATGTCTAAGCTTTGATCTTCCCCATTACACTCTTTTATATCTCCTGACCGAGACAACTAATAAAAATGAACGTTGGATCCATCCGTACAGATGGATTATCGAATATTTCATGTAAATATTGTTGCTCTCGTGGTGTAAACACTGAATATTCAGAGTCACACTTGAGCATTCTCTGCATGCATTATTAATGTGCATTCAAATAAGTGTCTCTCAAGCCTTACTAATGTGTGGTGTGTGTAAGCGTTGCACCAAATCAGAAAATTATGTCTCATTAAGTCTCCATATCGCACAAAATCCTGAAGAGGCTGTGCTTGGATCTTCCCGCTTTCCCCTTTGAAAGCCACTGAAGCTGAGCTAAGCCTAAACAGACCAGGAAGAGAGAATGATAAATGACTGTGTGTGTGGTAGAAGATGAGTCTGAATCATAGAGCATTTGCAGGAGACTATAAGAGTTTATATAGGGATTTTCCATTTTAAGACTAGATCAAACCTTCTCTTGTATTAGAATCAATATTAGTGTTTTATTTAAGGAAATTTTGCACAGGGTGTGAATGAAAAAACAACAGATTGCCATAATTTAAAAATGAGCCTACTGCATAGATGTCACATTACACTAACATCATTACATGCATAACCAGCTGTTTATAATTATTCTACATGTGAACATTATCAGATTTTACCCAGAGGGAGTCCTTGTCATTGGTTCAGTTGTATTCCGTGTACGGAGATGATTTATTACAATGCTTGCAAGACAGCACTGTAGTGATATTCCTGGTTGGGTTTGTTCTAAACCTCTGACCTTAAGTAGCCAATTAAACTTAATTTAGCGTGACCCAATCTTAGGTGAGCTATTATTTTAGTTTTGTTTTTATTATTGTTTTCACTTTAAACTATAAAAAAATTAAGGCTCCCTAGTCCAGTACGAAGTGCAGGCAGTCGTCGCATATGGCAGTCAAAATTGTTCCAAAGTACCAAATTTCACAAAATTCCTACAAAATTAATTATTCATAAAACAAATCATACCAAAAGCATATCAGTCCTGTCTTAATGTACACAGTTGTTGTCCATAAATATCTTTAACATTTGAAACCATGTAAACATGCCCCAATGTTTAGTAGATCAAGGCCCTTTCTGTTGTCCAAATTTGTTTATGATATTCTGATTCTAAAGTCACAATTTTGCTAGTGAGCATAGTGAGACGCAACTCAAGATTAAAGTTTGAAAATCTTCCATTGATACAATGTTAAAATGTAACCAAGTGTTTTTATTTCCATAACAGAATTTACATAGTCTACTTTCTTATAACTATTTGCATACAAAATTCTGATTCCATGCCTTTCAAGGTTTCCAGGTGTTGGTTCTTGTATAACTGATTGTAAACAAGGAGTGATTGAGCATTACATATCCACATAATTTAAGGCTTAAACCTCAGCCTACCTAAAACCTCAGCATTATTTTTCTTTTGCTGCCTTACAATAACTGATATTTCCTTCTATAAAACTCTTTATATTTGAGGAGATTTAAGGGTGTGTCTCAGTCTGCTCTCTAGTCCAGTAGTAAGTGCACTACCCCAGGAAGTCTGTCATTTTTATGGATATGAACATTCATAAAAAATGGATTTGTCACAAAACAAATCATACCAGAAGGATACTGGCCCTGTTCTAATGAACAGAGTTATTCTGTCCTTAAATATCTTTTACATTTGAAACCCTGTAAACATGTTGCAGGAAATTGAATCATCAGTTCCCTTAATGTTTAATAGATCAACGGCAGTGGCCAAAATGTGTTCTTGATATTCTGATTCATAATGAGCATAATGAGACGGTTCAAGAGTAAAATCTTCCAATGACTTAAATTGATAGAATGTTCAAATGTAACCAACAGCGATGGTGTCATCAAAATATTTGCATACTGAGATGTGATTAGTCTTCTTTCTTACAACTATTTGCATACGAAATTCTGATTGGGCTCGTCTTCCATCCATGTGTGTATCCATATATAGCTTCCTTTCCACCACAGTGACTGTGTTGATTCTTGTGTAACCGAGTGTAAACAAGGCGTGATTCGGCATTTCATCTGCGCATCATTTAAGCCTACCTAAAACCTCAACATTATTCCATGCAACCCCTGGAATTTCCTTCAGGAAGTGCTTAATCTAGTTAAATTTTTGGACCTAACGTTCATTTGCTCTCTTGCAGTGGGAGAACGAACAGTTGACCAGTTTGGAAGAGAGAGGCCGCCTGTTGCTCTCACTGCAGTTCCTTACCCCACCTGCAGAGGGCGAAGAAGGCCGGCGAGGGGGCCTGTACGTCGGAGTGCTACGCTGTGCCCATCTGGCAGCCATGGATGTCAACGGCTTCTCAGATCCCTATGTGAAAATGTGAGATTTCTGCACCAACACTGAGAAAGCACAGACATGCAGCAAAAAGACACTTGCTAGGGATTCAGGAAAAAAACAAAAAAATAAAAAGGGCAAAGGAAAAAGAACTCCGGTTTGGAAGGGAGGTGCCATAAACAGTTCTCAGAGGTGGAGAAGCGAGTAGGAGAAACTGTAAAACAAGAGAGAGAAAAAGAAACGGATAGTAGCCAATAATAAGGCTAAAAAAATCTCTGTATGTCCTACGTCTTTCCTCTGATGTGTCTCTGCTTCTCACTCTCTCATTTGTGCCCCCTCTAATCTCTCATTATTTTTCTCACATCATGTATTAAAATAAACGCTCCCAAACAGTTCTTCCTCCCCAGGCAAAATGGCATAAGAACAGACAGGACCTCCACCCACGCTCACGTCCCTTCCAGTCACTCTCTCTCTTGCTCTTCCGTTCCTTTCACAAACACACACACATACACATTCTCTCTTTTCCTCAGGATCAAAGCCATATTCTAACTGTGTGTCTTGGGGGAGGGTGGCTGAGAGTTAACAGCAGTACATAAAGCAAATCAAATTTTTATGAAAGCCGGTGGGACGTCACCACAAAAGCCGAAAAGCAAACAGCTTGGTACGAATGTGTCCGAAGTCCGTTTCGTATGCTTGCGATGGCGCTGCCGCTTGTTTTAATCTCCTGCTCTCCCACTGTCCTGCTCTACCTACGCCCCTCACTTTGTTCTTCCATCTGCCTTTCTCTTTCCAGATACCTGAAGCCAGATGTGAAGAAGAAATCCAAACACAAAACGGCAGTGATTAAAAAGACCCTTAACCCAGAATTCAATGAGGTATGGATGTATTTGACGAACTGGCGTGCGTGCGCCTCACGAGCGCTTTGAGTGTTAATGAGATGTCTGGTCCAATATCTCTTTGCGCTGCGTCCTTGCTCACTTCACATTCCCAGAAGACCTCCACCTAAACGCACGTTTGTCTTTCATTACCATGTTGCACATTTCTCATTTCAGTCATGTCCTCCGTTTCTCTTTTTATCCCTCTTCTCCTTCCCGTCTGTCTCACGCTCTCTCTGTCATGTGGGCGGCATGTGATCACCAGTAAGGCTAAGTGTTTTGTTTCCATTCACTCAGAAGTAATACACACCCAGATTGGCCATATAATTACTCCTTGGCTCAGACTGAAGGCTGCTCACTCCAATCTCACACGCCACTATCTGCTTAAAAGCAGGTCTGCCCTCTGCTCCACAGGAGCCCCGCTCAGCAAAACCATGATATCATATCATATCAAAACTGTTCATGAGGGTGCTGAAAATTCCTGGGATGAATAAGAGGCAGGAGCAACAGCACTCCTCAACGTATTATATTTAGAAAATGCTCCAATTTCTTTTTATGAACTGTGTGAACATTTGTGGGATGGGTAGAGGTCAGAAGAGGAAGGTCCAGTGGTTTGATCCCTGTGATCCCAGCATGATTTAACTCGGATACCCCAGAAAGCAGCCTCCATTTAAAATGTATTGCTTTCTATTGCTTAAATGTTTTTTTCCCTTTATTCAAGCACATTCCAGGCTTCAGTCAGTGGGTGTGAAAGCCGCAGACGAGAACATCTGTTTGACTACAGGTGCATCTCAATAAATTAGAATGTCGTGGAAAAGTTAAATTGTGAAACTCGTGTATTAAATAAATTCAATGCACACTACTGAAGTAGTTTAAGTCTTTGGTTCTTTTAATTGTGATGATTTTGGCTCACATTTAACAAAAACCCACCAATTCATTATCTCAACAAATTAGAATATGGTGACATGCCAATCAGCTAATCAACTCAAAACACCGGCAAAGGTTTCCTGAGCCTTCAAAATGGTCTCACAGTTTGGTTCACTAGGCTACACAATCATGGGGAAGACTGCTGATCTGACAGTTGTCCAGAAGACAATCATTGACACCCTTCACAAGGAGGGTAAGCCACAAACATTCATTGCCAAAGAAGCTGGCTGTTCACAGAGTGCTGTATCCAAGCATGTTAACAGAAAGTTGAGTGGAAGGAAAAAGTGTGGAAGAAAAAGATGCACAACCAACCGAGAGAACCGCAGCCTTATGAGGATTAAGAATTTGAGTGAACTTCACAAGGAATGGACTGAGGCTGGGATCACGGCATCAAGAGCCACCACACACAGACGTGTCAAGGAATTTGGCTACAGTTGTCGTATTCCTCTTGTTAAGCCACTCCTGAACCACAGACAACGTCAGAAGCGTCTTACCTGGACTAAAAAGAAGAAGAGCTGGACTGTTGCCCAGTGGTCTGGTGTGCTTGACTGGCTAGCAAACTCACCAGACCTGAACCCCATAGAGAATCTATGGGGTATTGTCAAGACGAAAATGAGAAACCAGAGACCAAATAATGCAGATGAGCTGAAGGCCACTGTCAAAGAAACCTGGGCTTCCATACCACCTCAGCAGTGCCACAAACTGATCACCTCCATGCCACGCCAAATTGAGGCAGTAATTAAAGCAAAAAGAGCCCCTACCAAGTATTGAGTACATGTACAGTAAATGAACGTACTTTCCAGAAGGCCAACAATTCACTAAAAAAAATTTTTTATTGGTCTTATGAAGTATTCTAATTTGTTGAGATAGTGAATTGGTGGGTTTTTGTTAAATGTGAGCCAAAATCATCACAATTAAAAGAACCAAAGACTTAAACTACTTCAGTCTGTGTGCATTGAATTTATTTAATACACGAGTTTCACAATTTGAGTTGAAATACTGAAATAAATGAACTTTTCCACGACATTCTAATTTATTGAGATGCACCTGTAAACTACCAAATGGCAATTGTTTCTGGAAATTTGTTTCTGAAGCAACTTTTCATGGGTTTAATATTTTGATCATTCCCCAGGTGGCTTTGGAGCTGTCAGGATGATGCATATGAGACCTTTCTGTGTTTAAAAATGTCTTTTGAAATGAATGAGGGGAAATCAAAAGTGACCATGAATAAATAAAATTTTGGGCTTTGGCCAAGGGGTTGATCAAATGAGAACCGGAGGCATCATCCTTCAAATTATTCTTCTGAAAATGAATGCAACTGTTGAAGTGCTGCGATAATCCATGTCATATTTTACCACCCACAGGAGTTCTTCTATGAGATCTCTCTATCTGAACTGGTCCATAAGACACTGGAGGTCACAGTATGGGACTATGATCTGGGAAGATCTAATGATTTCATAGGTGAGAGCATGCAGTTATTATCTGTTATAATAATATCTTTATTATATGTGCTTTTGAAGAATAAAATATGGGCTGTGTTCGTGATAGCATCATACAGAGATGGACAAAGTAATATACAAATAAAGTACTTAAAGTAAAAAAGTAAAAGTACAGATACCCTACAATATTACTCCACTAAAAGTAGTAAGTACTTATCCATTTTACTTGGGTAAAAGTACAAAAGTACTTTATTTTTTTTAATGTAAATGAGTATTAAATTTAAAAAATACTGATTGATGAATGTTTTTATTTATTTTACAATTTTATATACTCTATCCTGCTAAAAATATGTCTCTAATAACTACTATTAAAAATGACTGATGATTCAAGTGTGTAAATAAGTGAAAATAACCAAATATACTATTTAGTGTATAGACATAAGGAAAAACAAAATGTGTGTTAGCAAATATTAACATAGACAACAATCTAAAAACAGACGTCACGTTGGGGAAAATGTGTCAATTAAGGGGAAAATAATAAATTACTTAAATTGCACATTATAATCTACAGTATGAAATTTAATGGTCACTGAGATTTTGATATTATTTTTTTATTTTGAAAGATTAAACATGACAGCACAGGTAATCTAAATGTAAATATAGGGAGAATGAGCATGTAACATTAAATATCCAAAAATAAGATGACTTATATCAAGTTATTTTAAAATATCTATTTAATATCAATATTATATATATTTAAAAATCTCTTATTATCAGCTGATATATTACTGATAACACATGCATCCCATATGATATGCAATATTTTCAAGATGATTACTGCATTTGCTGATTTAAACATGTACAACTGTTTGATATGTTAATGACTGCATTCAGTAAATTCAGTATATACTAGCAGTTGACAGTAAACATTACTTTTTCATTCTGAACAGTCAGTCATCCATCCTTGATATTAAGACATATATATTTACACAAATCCTATACTCTTGAATGGCAGGTGGCGTGTGCCTGAGCTGTCACATCCAAGGAGATGCTCTTCGCCACTGGATGGACTGCTTGAGGAACAAGGGTCAAAGGGTGGAGCGTTGGCACATTCTGGCCAATGAGCTGCCTCAGACCACCTGCCATGATTGAGGAAGAATCCTGCCAGGAACGAGGAAATCAGTCATGATAGGTTAATGGATTTGATTGATATGAGGTGGACATGGAGATAATTATATGAGCTAAGTAGGGGCCAAGATGTTGGAAGTAAATTACACACTTTGTGCTGTTTAAAAGGAAAGTGGAGGATGGGCCACCAGTCGTCTTCTGACTTGGTGTCACTCAAAGCGAGTCCCCGCCCCTTTCACCCAATTCTCTCTCGCACGCTCATTGCTGCACGTTTTCTACACATTTTGTAACGTTGAAGTGTATTTTACTCTAATGAAATCTTGTGTAGCACAATTCTCTTTTTTGATTAACCGATTACAATGTATTTCAATGTTCAGTGCTTTCGTAATGCTTGCAGACAGCGCATCTTTAACAATATACGGGGGTGCATGTAAACTGCCTGCCATTAATGCATCAGAGTGATAAACACATGGTACCGCCATGACAACATGGGAAGGTCCTTAAGGGCTTGTCCTCTCAATGTTGTCAATCATATTTGAAACAAATACAATTTCATCAGGAGCAGGTTTCTGTGTTCTGCTAACAAATAGACTATCCATTTTGTAGCATGATGCAATGTTTACATTTTTTACTTTGCACCAACTCTGTTTTCCAAGGTCTCAAATTTGGCAGTTTTCAATTTCCAGTTGTTACTTTTCTTTAAAAAGGGGTTTTATGGACATGCTACAATTTGATATCGCGTACGTTAATTACTTGATATATTTTTGGAATCAAATGTTTATATGTGCCGTATACTAGGACTATCTGGAGTGCGTCTGCATGCGTACGCGTGTGTGTCGTCTGGTTGTTTTGTACCAAAAAAAGTGCTGTATTCTTGAGGGTTTGTGGTTTACATTTCTATAAGTGCTTATGTACAAATTGGAAATACATTTGAAATGCATTGCTCTTTAAGATGTGCGTCATTTGCCTGCATCCTCTCGAAGCGAGCTTAGAAACCTCTTAAGAATTACAATTCGCAATCGCTCCAGCAAGCAGAACATCTATCATGGCACACCACCAACATATAAGCATACTTCATCTGAATTATCTCATTCGCAAAGACTTCATTCTGGGAGTGACTGTGGTGTTGTTCATGCAGTTGTGGATTTGGGTATCTTTACACCAATAAGCAATAAGATACTCTCTAAATGGGATTCCAAACCAAGATAATATCAGCCTTTCCTACTGCGAAAAACCACTGCACTGATTCTGTGGTTCTTCGAGTTGCATCTGGTTGATTATGTGTTCAATGAGTAAATGGTAATTAGATGGCCACTTAACAGCAGACCACAGTGAGGTAAAAGTGTCAGTGTCACTGTATCTGGCCCGGGACATTGCCGCTATCATCATACAGCCTGGCCCTGGTCTGGGCGAATCCCCAGCAGTAAACATTTTGGATGGCTCCCTTATCTGACACAACCATTTCAAGTCTTGAAGATGAGTTTGATTAGGTGTTTGATTATATAATTTACTCGTACAACTGATAAAAGTATTTTTGATCTTGTCAAAACTAAAAATGTCATTATATAGAAGTCTTTATTTATTTATTATAAAAATCCCCATTGAGTTATAAGGTTGGGGGGTGTTGAGGGGGTGAACGAAATTAAGAAATATCTTGATTTTTAGTTGTTTAGTTTGGCTTATTTTGATGGTTGATTTGGCTCGTTTTACATAATTTTAAGTCATTTGAGGCCCCCTAGTAGGCCCTGCCCTGCTTGTTAAGAAACACTGAGCCTTAAAAACTATTATTAGGTACTTTATCTAATAAATTTAAATAATCCCTCAAGTCATACTGATTGTAACTTTTTTTTATTCACATAAAAACATTCCTTAATCATTTACCCACCCACATGTCATTCTAAACCTGTATGAGATATTTAGCAGAATGTCTAAGCTGCTCTCATCCATACAGTGAGAGTGGATGGGGGTCAGGGGGATGTCAGGCTCCAAAAAACACAAACACAATAAAAGTATCCTACCTATACATCTCATTTGCTATATTGCGAGCCTTTTAGTGTCATATGATGGCTTTGAGTAAAGAACAGTCCATAATTTAAAGCATTCACTGAAAATTTGACCTTATCTGACCACAGAAGAAAGTCTGTCATACAGGTTCGGAACAACATAAGGGTAGGTGAATGATAAAGAGAAATTCTATTTAAATTCTTAAAGAGTGAAACAAGCCCTTAAAGCAATGGTACTCAACCAGTGTTTTCCATAAACTATTTAGACATTGTTGTAGACAGTGGGGGGCCTTGGACTAAAAAAGGTTGCGTAAAAAAAAACCACTGCCTTAAAACTTTTGTAATAGAAAACTCTATAAATCTGAAAACTCTGCAAAACTCTATCCATTTATCATCTCCTACATGAAAAGTTTCAGCAAAAAAAAAGCCTCCAAGGGTGAACATATTGGTTCAATGAATGAGATGGCACATAAATATAGTTAGAAAGTAACTACACTAAATTTGAAATGGTTTGTCTCATTCTAAAAATGCTAAACATCGCCATCTAGTGGGATTTAGTGGAAACATTGTTTTTTTTCTCCAAACAACTTTGGACTTAAAATTCAATACATTACATAAGCCTTCACCTTCATATAAGGTTTGGTTAAACATTGCCTGGAATGTTCAAGTGAACCTAAACATCTTGATCCACTTGTTCAGATGTTTAAAATGACAGCCAACCAAAATAATGAACATTTCATTTCAAACTTATGACTTACTTTCTTCTGTGGCATGTAAAGGATGGTACTCTGAAGAATGTTGGTAAACAAACAGCTTCGATTCCCATTGACTTCCATTGTATTGGCAAAAAAATACAATGGAAGTCAATGGGAACATAAACTGCTTGATAACCAAAATACTTCAAAATAGACAATTCACAGAACAATGAGCATCATTCAGCTTTGGAGCAAATGATGACAAAATCTTTCATTCTCGGGTGGACTAGAGTTAACGTTTTTAGAAGGTTGGACTTTCATTCAAATATGATGCAAATATTATCTGCTGATAATAGAGAAACCCAAAAGAGTAAACACACTATCAATTCTCTAATCAAACTATTTAATTTAGCATATTAAAAGCAGCAGAAAACTACTGGCACTTGTTTGTTGCATCCTAATGGTGTGATGGCAGGGCACACGACAGCAACATGAAATGAATTTCAACAACACCATCAAACACTATACTCGAAAGGTTTTCTGTGGACGTGAAGATCATCATGTGACTTGTTATATTGTTCAACGTCTCTCATTCCTGCCCACGGGGGTCTCCCAGCGTGGCACATTTTAGATGTCTCTATTATCCAGCAAAGCACATGTCACGATCACCAGGGAAACCCTCCCATGAGTCTTTCCTGTAGCTTAAGATCCGTTTAATTTGGCTGCTGAGGCAGAAACACCATTGCCTCACCTATTATGAACACGCATGTGATTTCGACAGGTGTAGGCATCCTTAAAGCTACGTGCACACACAGGACAGTCAAACAGGCGGAGCCGCAGATGCACGCGGCTGTGGTTCCTCAACGTCCCATCATTGTTGAAGCGTTTCCCACACTGCGCGCAAGCGTACGGCTTCTCCCCTGTGTGAATGAGCATGTGCACTTTTAGCCGTGAATGATGGCGGAATAGTTTTCCACACTGTGGGCATGTGTGTGTCCCAGGAACTTTGACTCTTCCTCGTCCCCGTCCTCTTCCCATACCCTGCCTGACCTCACTGCTGAACGACGCGTGACGTAGGGGGTTGACTGCAACGTTAGCTATACCAAGATGAGAGTTGCCGCTAATAGTGTCGTTCCTGACCGATCTTGAGTCTGTGTTTTGATGAGCGGTGTTGTAGTTGACATGGGCTACGCCTGATACAGGACAAGAGGTCTTTAACACATTTTGGCTTATTTTACTGAGGGATACTTGCACGGTTTTAGCCTTTAGCTTCATACGTTTAGCTGATTGTAGATCAGTGGAATTCGATATACTGAACACTTTAGGATCAGACTTGTGGTTAATATCGGTAGTAGCTGGTAACTGAGCAGTGCAATGAGCTAATGGACTGTAGACGGATGTGTTAGCATCGGTGGACTGTGAATCGAGACTTTCAAAAGGCTCTGCTTTTACACCACAAGGAAATTCGTTTAAAGGTGATGTTTCAAAGTCCTTATCTGTGTGAGCCAGTGTGTTTGGTGACTGGAGACGAGGTATATCGATGTCTGATTCGGTCACCAGAAGAGCATGGTTGGAGAACTCTTCTACTTTTGTGCTGGAGAGCTGTTCGGTTTGTACCTGGTTCTGATCCTGATAGATCTCTGTAGGCATGGTTTCAGTTTCAATGCTAGAAGTCCACTTTAGATGCGGTGGTGGAGATGATGGGGCAGGGTTTGAAATAGCTGGACCTGTAGAAGAGGAAAGGTGTGACGTGATCAGGTGGAAAAATAGTATCCAAACACTAAACTAACTCATACTTAAGACTGGTATACAAACATGTTTTGCCAAGATTTTTGTTGCTGTAAGTCAGATTTTACAGAAAATTGTGTAGTGTATGATGTTCAGAGACCTAAAGTCTGATCTTCAGTCGTTTAATGTACGATGCCTAGTAGTTTAAAATCTGTTAACTTATTAAAAAGTCATATAGTTTATTCCTGCTTTATACAGTTCCAGATTCAAACATTTCCAGTCAGAAATTTGAATGTATGTTTTTATAAAGATCTTTGACTTAAAAGCTTTAATATGAATTACAGATTTTAACATTTTCACATTCAAAAATTGTTTTAGATACATAGACAAAGTTGTTTTCTTCAAGTGCCAGTGGTTTACCATTCACATAGTTTCATAATTTAAGTGAAACCTTTCTAGTCAAGCATGGTTTACCTAAACAAATAAGGATTCTAATTTATTATAAGCATTAACAGTCCAATTTTATAGTACATTCCTATAAAATTAATATATTCCTGTAGCTTAAACAGTAGAGCATTACCTAAAATCGACATTTTATTTGGCTGTAGTACACTATTTTTGTCTAGTTTTAGGGCAATACTTCGGTAGTTATTCAATATTTACCCCTCCTTTGACGATACTGGCGAAGTTACCTAGAATAATCCTGAAACGTACTATGGACATATGTCTAACTTATATGTAATTTTTCCTGTTCCATACATGAAATAGACTATTTTAAATATTAAACATTTACATTTACAAACATAACAGTAGCTAGATATTACCGGTACTAACTTCCCAAACTTACCATGACATGTGGTGTTTATTTCTTTCTTTATTTCAATTTTTTATTTGATTTGATTCTGTTTATTCTATATAATTATTATTGTACTGTTGTAACTATGGTTTTTTGGCGGAAACCATGGTTTCCATGGTAATTTGCCTATAGAAAGTAAATAACGGCTGACCTCGGCAGAACGCGCTATTTTCTATGAAGGGTCAGTGTAACTTACCGTTTGACTCGACGAGTTTCTCAATCTCCTTCAGTCTCCGTCTCAGATACTCGTTGTCCTTCTGCACGCTGTCCAGCTCTTTTTCATACTGCAGGACAGTCCCGCCGATCATGTCCATGATTTCATTCAGCGTCGCCATTAAGCGCTCCGTCAGAAACGTGTTGATGACCTGCAGCTTGGTCATTTTGCTGTTAGCTCGCAGTTATTTTATTTCGGCGTACAGTAAGGCAGAATGTAAACACAAGTGGTCCCTGTGGTCATATGACCATGTATATGTTCCTCTTTAACCACAGAAATAAACCGATTTAGCAGTGATTCAGCGCCAACCAAAGGAGAGGAGTCGAAGGTACAGAAAGAACTGTTCACACTTCTTCTTCTTCTGTTCCTCCTCCTTCTCTTCCTCCTCCTTCTTCTCTGGATTTACTGGTGGGTTGCAAACCAACTGGACAGAATGCAAACACCACCTAGAGTCATTTTTTCGTCATTATTGCTCTACCAGTTTTTGGTCAGATATTTAAAATACAGCCCTAAGTGAATTCTGGAATTCCAGAAGCTTGTAATCCTGTTCATATTCGGCACGTCTAATTAATGTTCTACTGTTTCTTTGTCTAACAAATATTACATAGACCCATGTGTTGTTTGTTGAGTGGGGCGTTTAGTCATTCTTAACCCTTTAAAGGGGTCATATGCCATTTAAATATTTATTTTCTCTTTGGAGTGTTACAAGCTGTTCGTGCATAGATAAGATCCCTAAAGTTGCAAAGACTAAATATATTTTAGAGATATTCTTTATAAAAGTTAAGACTTGTCCACGCCCTCCTAAAATGCCTCATTTAAACACGCCCCCACATATCTACGTCACTGTGTGGGAAGATTTGCATAATGCCACCCAAATGTTCACGCAAAGAAAGAAGGCGTAACTTTTATTCTCGCTGCATTATTGTTGCCGCCGCCATGTCCTGAAGACTCTGTGTGTTTCATTGTGAAAGCGAAACTACTTTGTTTGGTCTTCCAAAGTGTAAAAAGACAGTGTAAGTCATTAAAATCCGTAATTATGTCCCCACTGGATGCAACGAATGCCTCAAATGCTCCATCACAGTATGGTGAGGGGCGTAACATTTCTGTCACACGCTTGAGGTATTCGGCCAATCACCATGCACTGGATAGCTGGCCAATCAGAGCACACCTCGCTTTTCAGAACGATGAGCTTTGTTAATATCGATGCGTTTCATGAAAGGTGGGGTACAGAGGAGAAACAATTATGTACAGTATGTGAAAAATAATGTGTTTTTTTTTTTACCTTAAACCGCATAAACACATTTCATTTCACCAAATACACAAAATAATGTTATTTTTAGCAACATCATACGACCCCTTTAACATTCACCTCTAAAAGGAGATAATGAAAATTATCTATTATATTATTTAACTTAAAATTCTTATTAGTAGACATCTAATAAATAGCCTCAAGCATTTTTTTTTATTTATACAAGATTTAAAACTCTACCGTACGGTTGAGCTGTAAGTCCATGATAAATCTTAATTTATATTCAGAGAACTACAGTGCCTTGCGAAAGTATTCATACCCCTTCATTTTTTTTCATGTTTTGTTAGGTTGCTGCCTTATGTTAAAATTGCTTTAAATGACTTTTTTCCCCACGTCATTCTATACTCTATAGAAGTGTAATATAACTCCATACACTATAATGGCAAAGCAAAAAACAGGCTTTTATCATCTTTGCAAATTGATTAAAAATAAAAACTTAAATGATTCCATTGCATAAGTATTACTATCTGGGACAGTTGAAATTTAGATCAGGAGCATTCAAATTGCTTGTAGATGTTACTACATTTCAAGTGCATTTAAGCTGTGGCAAATTCAATTGAATGTGTATGATTTGGAAAGGCACACATGACTTAATAAAAGGTCTAACAGTTGAAAATGCATATCAGAGCAAAAACCAAGCCCTGAGGTCAAAATAACTGCCTGTAGAGCTCAGAAACAGGATTGCATCAAACCACACATCTGGGGAAGTGTTCAGAAAAAATTCTGCTGCATTGAAGGTTCACAGAATCACGTAACCTTCATTTAGACATTTGGAACAACCAGGACTCTTCCTAGAGCTGGCCTCCTGGCCAAACTGAGCAATTGATGGAGAAGGGCCTTGGTTAGAGTGGTGACCAAGAACCTGATGGTCACTCTAGTTGAGCTCCATGATCATATGTGGAGGTAGGAGAAATCTACAGAAGGACAAACATCACTGCAACACTCCACCAATCTGGGCTTTATAGCGGTGTGGCCAGACTCAATCCTCTCCTCAGTGAAGATGCATGAAAACACACTTGGAATTTGCAAAACAGCACCTAAAGGACCCCAGACTGTGAGAAACAAAATTTTCTGGTCTGATGAACCTCAGTTCCAAGCATCAAGTATGAAGGAAAACAGCTCCGCTCATCACCTGCAGAGTACCATCCCAAAAGTAAAGTTTGCTGGTAGCAGCCTCATGCTGTAGGGCTGATTTACAGCAGCAGGGACTGAAGGACTCATCAGAGTTTAAGAAAAGCACCAAAATATTGAGATAGCCTTAAAGAAAACCCAGTCCAGAGCATTCAGAACGTCAGACTGGGCAGAAGGTTCACCTTCCAACAGGACAATGACCCTAAGCACACAGCAAGAGTGGCTTATAGACAACTCTGTGAATGTCTTTGAGTGCCCCAGCCACAGCCTGGGATTGAACCCAATCAAATATTTCTGGAGAAACCTGAAAATGTGTGTCTGCCCCCATCCAACCTGACAGAGCTTGAGAGGGGAAGAGACAAGGAGATGAATGGCAGATAATTGCCAAATGCTGATGAGCAAATCTTGACACATCATACCCAAAAGGACTTAAGGCTGTAAATGTGCTTCAGCTAAGTACTGAGTTATTTCAGTTTTTTTAATTTTTAATAAATTGAAAAAGTTGTGACAGTTCTGTTTTTGCTTTGTCATTATGGTGTATGGAGTGTAGATTGATGTGGAAAAAAATTAATAACAAGCAGTTTAACATAAGGCTGCAACATAACAAAATGTGAAATAAATGGTTACTTTCACAAGGCACTGGTCAAATTGCTACTCCATGTCAATCGCATACAAAGAAAATACAGAATAATTAGAACAATTATTAACATAAATAACAGAGTGTCATATCTATTCACATTTTTCCCAGAACATTCTTGCGACCCGGTAGCAATTCTTCCACGGCCCAGTAGTGGGTCGCGACCCGGTGGTTGGGGACCTCTGAGTTAATGTCATCTTTTTGTTACTTTGAATACTATGCAAATGTCTGCCTTTCTCACATGTGTCCCAGTACTTCTGCCATCTATTACAACATGGTTGTTGAATCAAACACTTTCCTCCTTCCCTATTTAAATTGACTGTTATGTTATCATTTTCCAAATTAGGTGCTCCCTTAGCCATTTTGTCTGCTTTTTCATTTCCTTGTACCCCAACATACTGGTACCCACAGAAAGTGTACTAAAAGTGTACTCCCACCTTGTATAAAATAACCAATATTTCTGTGAATATATATCTTCGACATGATTGAAAAGTTTGAAAGCGTGAAAGTGATGCCACTGAATCCACTATGGTTACCATGGCAATTTTTAAAATAAGTTTGGTTTGACAGCCTGAAAGAATCCTTGACAATGATGTATGGAGAACCATATTCACCTCAGTTGATCCTCTGATTCTGTAAGTCATAATAATGAGTAACATGATGTATAATAATGTGCATGCACGCATACATTACTAATTAGCAGATTATTATTGTGAGACACATCATTATTATGAGGTTTCTCATTAATATGTGAAACTAAACCATTATTTTTGCCTGTTACTTCAGTTGAGTGAAAACAATGATTCTGTTAGTCATAATAATGAGACTTTCTCATAATTATAACTTAATATTTTATATTGACAGAAATTCTCATAATGATGATTAAGCATATCATAATAATGAGAAACATTCTTATAATTTAGTATAATTATGTATTATGATGACTTTCCCATAATTGAGTTAATGTTGTTTTTAGAAAGATTTAGAAAAAATTAATGACTTATGACGAGTATAATCTCATGAAAAACTTTCTCATAATGACTTCACGTCTCATAATAAGAAACTAAGTCATTACGAGAAAGTTTCTCATTATGACTTACAGAATCTTTTTTTTAACCCTTTGATGCACAACATGGGTCTAAAGTGACCCGACTGCTCAGCCAAGCATGAAATAAAGGAAATTAATATGGGTCATTTTAGACCAATGTTGTGCATTAGAAGGGGTTTTCAACGCTTGTGCATCAAAGGGTTAAAACTCAACTCTGGGCAGAAAGGGGCAAGGCTTGAGCATTTTTAACACATGCATAAACTTCCTATTTTTATGTTCCTATATCAATAAATACAAGATTTGGAAGTTAAACAAACTTTTTAAAAATGTTTAACTGGCTCACAGAAACAAAAACAAAAAAACTGAATTCTCAACACACTGTTAAACCATGATTCATTTATTGCAAAAATTACTATAAAAGACAAATCAAGTTTAAAACTTCAAACCTGAACATCTTACATTTCAGTGGGGTGGCAAAATATTCTGTAAAATTCTTAAATCTATTTCTTTTTATTAGTTTTCTTTGAGATTATTCTTGTCCTAGCTAGTATGTACATACTGTTATTTTGTTGACTGATGAAATTCATTCACTAGTTACTTACAGGCTAAAGATTGTGACATTTTTTCCCAACTCTTTCTCTGTAACCATAACCAAATAGCTTAGATGACTTATTGTAAGCTTACATTTCTGACTTCTCTATCTCAACCCACTCCATATGATGTAGGTTTTGATGAAACAATTTGTTTGAAAACATTTAAAGGTTGGCCATGATGCACAATAGCCAGTGTCCATACTGACTCAAGAGTGGTTTTCACACAGTCTTTCTCGTAATTTCTTTCATTCGTCTCTTCTTAGCACTGCCAAAGATTAGCGCATTTCCTGCAGGAATAACACAAAGATAATGTCTGGCTTTCCTCATATTTATCCTATTATTCAAGCACCGTAAAAGTAGTTGAACAGAAAAGACTATACATATATGCGCATATATAAAATCAGATGACAAATGATAATGTCAACATTTACCATGTTTCATCCGAAGGTGCTTTAGAAGAGCCGACGTTGTGTATTCTTTGCGACCACGAGATATGACGGCCCTACACATAAGGCACACTGCTTTGCTACAGTCTCCATCTTTTAGGGAGAAATACTTCCATACAGGGCTTGATTTGGCTATTGTCCTCTTTTGCATTTCACAGCATTTACTGCTACAGTAGGCCCTGTTTGTACATAATATGTTGTGATATGAAACGTGATTGGCATCATG